CCCCACTCCCATCCAGAATTTCAGGAAGGCTGTACATTTTGAAGCATGAGTAATCAAAACTTGGTGCTTGTCTAAAGTTCTCAATAAAGAGCAGAAAATCTCTTATCATCCTGTCTCTCCCATTCATTCAGGCAACTTTGTCTTTCTTAACATAACAGGAAGTTTATTCTTTGGAAAATTCAAGCTGAGGGACAACATAGGGTCTCCAGGCATACAGGAGGATGGACTGAGATGCCTGGCTGAAAAGGTTTAAGCTAATAGTGACACGGTGGAACCAAAGATGAAAGCACACTGCATTAACTGGAATGGAGTAGCCCAGAGAACTGCTGATCTCTCAGTACATCCTGCATGACCAAGGAATGAAATTTTATGTGATAGATAAAAGCCTCATTGACCCTGGGGTGCAGTAAGCAAAGAGCCTTCAGCTGCAGAGAGCTGCCTCACCCAAAGCATGCCTCTTCCCAGTTTGGCCCACATTTCATGACTGCTCAGTGCTGGAGCATAAAGCTTGGCCATCTTTGCTCAACTTAGCACATCGCTGAAGGGCCATTTGTGCTCCAGATTTGCCAAGACTATCTTTGGCCCTAATCCTCAGCTCCAATTTTCCCTGTGCTCAAACATGCTTCCTTCCTCTCCTTTTCTCAGATATGAATCCCAAGCACACTTGTTAAGAAAGATCTTGGTGCCAAAGTCTGTTCCATAACGGACCTGACCTACAACTTTACTTCATGTTTCATTGTGTTTCAAAAGCCTAATTTTCTTGAGAGAATAAAGAGTGATCACCCCTACTAAAATCGTAGTTCTTTGCATGGTTATTTAGTGATGTGAGGAGATAGAAATGGCTACATAAGAATTTCAGCTTTTAATTTATGGAATTATTGTTGTGACCCCTGGTGAAAAACATGTCCCTTTGAACACCAGAAGTCACAAGGGCAAGAAGACACATCTTGCCATTGGCATGATGGATCAATACCAGTTTTACTCCTGGATTAACTGTAACCATGTACTCTGCTCTGAGCAAAACAGTATCATGTTCGGAGCAACTGACTCTCACATACATTGCTTGTGGGAATGTAACAATGTACAGCCCCATTGAAAAACTGTCTGTCAATGTTCTGTAAACTTGACCACTCATCTATCCATAGCCATTCTCTTCCTAGGTATTTACCCAATCATTAAAAATCAGGAACTGTGAATAATCCACGTGTCTGAAGAGGAGTGGAAAAGCTATAGCATATTAAATAGTATTCAGTTACAAAAAGCAATGATTCATTTTATATTCATTCAAAAAAATGGCCAAAATAAGTTGTGCTCATAGAACTTAGATTGTGGGTGTCTCTGGTGAGAGTTGGAATTAACTGGGAAGTTCTAGGCATGTGAAAATGTTGTGGGGCTATGGGAATGTTCTGCGTCTCATTTAGAGTGATGATTACATGGGTGTATATAATTGTTTAAACTGGAGGAATTGGCAGAGCAAGATAGTATAATAGAAAGCTCTAAATCAGATTTAGTCTGCCTTACATCAAATGGATCTAATAGATATTGACAGGACACTTCATCCACCAGTTGTAAAAAGTCGTAAAATACACATTCTTTTCCTCAGCACATGGATCATTCTCAAGAATAGACCATATGTTAGGTAACAAAATACATCTTTAAAAGTTCAAAAATTCAAATAATTCCAAGCATCTTCTCTGGACACAGTGGAACAAAACTAGAAATCAAAACAAAAGGAATTTTGGAAATTATGCAAACACATAGAAATTAACCAATATGCACCTGAATCTCCAGTAGGTCAATGAAGAAATTAAGAAGGAAATTGAAGAATTTCCTGAAACAAATCATAATGGAAACGCAATATATTAAAATCTATAGGATATGGTAAAAGCAGTACTAACATGGAAGTTTATAGCTATAAGTCCCTACATCAAAAAAGAGGAAAAACTTCAAATAAACCACCTAATGATGCCTCTTAAAGGAGTAGAAAGGTAAGAACAAAAATAATCCAAAATTAGTAGAAGAAAAGAAATAATAAAAGCCACAGCAGAAATTAATGAAATCAAAATGTGGAAAACAATGCAAAAGATCACTGAAACAAAGAGTTGTTGTTTTGAAAAGTTAAACCAAATTGACAAACCTTTAGCCGATTAAGAAAAAGAGACAGAAGATCTAAATCAATAAAATCAGAAATGAAAAAGGAGGCATTGCAACAGATACTGCAGAAATTCAAAGTATCATTAGTGGCTACTGTGAGCAACTATATAGCAATAAGTTGAAAAACCTAGAAGAAATGCACAAGTTTCTAGACACATACAACCTATCAAGATAGAAGGAGGAAGAAATCCAAAACCTGAATAGACCAATAACAAATAATGAGATCCAAGCTGTAATAAAAAGTCTCCCAGTAAATTAAAGCTGAGGATCCAATGGCTTCACTGATGAATTCCACCAAACATTTAAATAACTCATACCAGTCCTAGTCAAGCTATTCTGAAAAGCAGAGGAAGAGAAATTACTTACAAACTCATTTTTTTTTTGAGTATTTTTGACCTGCAGTTGGTTGAATTCACTGATGCTAAACCCAGAGGTTACAGAAGGCTGCCTGTATTCTATGATGAGGGATCCATTCACACATAAGAGGACACATGAGCTCCAGCATACATGGCCAAGTGTGTTCTGAGCAACACTGTAAGAGGCCAAAGTGGAAACAATCCAAATGCCCATCAACAGCAGAAACATTTATACTATTGGACACCTTACAGCAGGCAACAGGACCAAGTACAGCTACAAGGAACAACATAGATGAGGGAAATAAAACAAACAAAAAAACCCATTAAACTGCATAAAGCACAATTCTGTTTACATAAGGTTATATAACATTTTCAAAACGAGCAACATTTTAGTACATTTATTTAGAATTCTTCTGCAGAAGGGTTTTGTCTCTTCTCTCCAATTTGTTAAATTTACTCATTTATTCATAACAGCACGAACTTGCAGGTATTTATTTTATTCTTTGGATTATAATTCAATAATACTTTAGTTACTCTGTGGCTCAACTTGTTTAAAATTTGGCCGTTGGGAGCTGTTTTCATTGGTTCTTGTGCTCTTCTAATATAACCCCATAAATGTTCTAACATGACCTCATCAATACTTTTGTTTGTTTTGTGTTTACCACATTCTTATTTTCCAACACTCCAAGATGCTATAGGCTCTTTCTGTATTTCCTGCACAGGTCTAGAAACTTTATTTCTTCATAAGTATTGCCACATCTTTATTTTTTCTTTAACATTATCAGGTTGCAGTTTTATTAATCATCTTTAGTCTAGATTGCCTTCTGTTTATTTATAATTCTATCATTGTTTTAATGTTTCATGTTCTGTTCGTTGTTTTTCTTTTCTTTTTTTTTTTTTTTTGTTTTTTTTTTTTGAGACGGATCTCGTCTGTCGCCAGGCTGGAGTGCAGTGGCCGGATCTCAGCTCACTGCAAGTCCGCTCCGGGTTCAGCATTCTCTGCCTCAGCCTCCTGATACTGGACTAAGGCGCCCACCTCCCGCTGTTTTTTGTATTTTTTTAGTAAGACGGTTTCACCGTGTTACAGGATGTCTCGATCTCCCGACTCTGATCCCCGTTCGCTCCAAAGTGCTGGGATTACAGGCTTGTTCTGTTCGTTTTTATTTACTAATTGCTGAATTTCAACATAAATATTTATAGATTTTTAGAAAATATAGATATTAATTCTCAAATAAATATAGTCAGATTCAGTTTTTAAATTGTTGACCTTTAATTTTATTTCAACGAGGTCAAGCTTATGCTCAATTTATTAACTTATGGAATTGTAATTGATATTTATTTGTAGCTGCACTGGGAAATTTTTGTAAATGTGTTCTACCTATTGAAAAGCATTTTCCATTTGATTTTTGGTAGTTGCAGGTTATAATGATCACGGTTAAGTTTGTTTTGCAAATTCTATAGCTTTTTTTTTTTTTCTTTTTTTGACGGAGTCTCGCTGTCGACCTCGCAGCCTCCCGAGTAGCTGAGGTTACAGGCGTCCTCAACCATAGCCGGCTAATTTTTTATATTTTTGGTAGAGACGGGGTTTCACCATATTGGCCAGGCTGGTCTTGAACTCCCGACCCCAGGTGATCCACCCGCCTTGGCCTCCCAAAGTGCTGGGATTACAGGAGTAAGACACCGCGCCCAGCCAAATTGTACAGCATTCCTAATTTTGTTCTCTGCACTATTATTGGTTTCGGTCAAAATGCTGTTACATTAAAAAAAAAAAACAAATCATGATCTCCTATCATGATTGCAGACTTTTCAGTTTTACCATCTAAGTCTGAGTCTTGGCTCTCTATGTGTCAGTGCCATGTGGTTAGGTGCATAAAGTTCATTACTGCAATATTGAAATATTTTCCTATGAAATTTCATTAACCAGGATCCTATCAATACACTGGATATTAATATTGCTCCCCTAGATTTCTTTTGTTTAATATTTGTCTGTATTGCCTGTTCCCATAAATTGACTTTTAATCACTTAGCGTTGTTCTAAGATTGATTAAAATGTAGAATAAAAGGGAAGGTTATGGGAGGGTGGGACGTCTAATCTAAGCCCAGCCCAGTGATTACATTAGCTGGGCGCTGATTAGGTTAGGATGTTGCCCAGGGATAAAGCCAGGATCTTTGGGACCTGGCTTCATTTGGAGTTCAGCTACCAAGAGGAAACCTTCCTCTGGGTCCTGGAGTATTTGGCCTGAAATTGGCAATTTGGGAGTTGCTGCTCCAGGGGGCTCCGTGCGGAGCTCGGCCGCCAGCCTCTCCGCCCAGCCTTTCCCGGCGTCCCCACGCGGGGCGCAGCCGCGAAAAAGGAACGCAGGTCACACCGTCAGCGCCCAGAGCAGCGCCAGTTTCCGGGCCCGGCCTGCTCTGGGAGCCATGAGTTGCAGCCGCCCCCCTCCCGACGTGGACGGCATGATCACCCTCAAGGTGGACAACCTGACCTACCGGACCTCTCCCGACAGCCTGAGGCGCGTGTTCGAGAAGTACGGGCGCGTGGGCGACGTGTATATCCCGCGGGAGCACCACACCAAGGCGCCCCGGGGCTTCGCCTTCGTCCGCTTTCACAACCGGCGCGACGCGGAAGACGCCGAGGACGCCATGGACGGGGCGGAGCTGGATGGACGCGAGCTGCGGGTGCAGATGGCGCGCTATGGCCGCCGGGACTTGCCCCGCAGCCGCCAGGAAGAGCCGCGCGGCAGGTCCGGAGGCGGCCGCTCCGGACTGCGGAGCCGCAGCCCCAGGCGGCGACACCGCAGCCGATCCCGGGGTCCCAGCTGCTCTAGGTCCCGCAGCAGATCTCACTATGGGGGGTCTCGCTATAGCCGGTCTCCCTACAGCCGATCTCCCTTCAGGAGATCTCGCTACAGCCGATCTCCCTACAGACGATCTCATTGCAGAGGATCTCGCTACAGTCAATCTTACAGCCGGCATCACTACAGCCGATCTCCCTACAGGGAATCTCGCTACAGGAGGTCTCCCTACATCCGGTCTTCCCGCAACAGGTCTCTGTACAACCGCTCTCACTCGAAGTCTGGGTCTGGCTCTCGCTCTCCATCAACCTCCAAATCCAGCTCTGTGCGAAGATCCAAGTCCTCCTCCATCTCCAGATCTTGCTCAAGGTCCAGGTCTAGATCTACGTCCCGGAGTACTACCCCCATATCCAAGAGGAAATCCAAGTCCAGGTCGTGATCCAAGAGTCCTCCCAGGTTTCCTGAAGGGGAAAAAGGACAAGTGTCCTCCAAGGAAAATGATCATCAGCTAACGCGTGATGGACGACTTGGGGAAAAGGACTCCATACTCAGTCCATGGAAGCAGAATCCCTGGAAGAAGCGACTGCCTAATGAAACGGTTGTGTGACATTTGTCTACCTTTTTACCAGTTTGAAGTGTTGCATCAGATGGCAAGATTCATTTCATGTGCCATTGTGTTGTTATTCAAATTTTCTTGTAATTTAGTGAGGTAAACTACTTTAGATTGGATTTGGATGTTTGAGGGGGAATTTTATATTTGTCTTTTTTTGGTTTTTTTTGAGATGGAGTCTAGCTCTGCTGCCCACGCTGAAGTGCAGTGGCGCCATCTGCATCTTCCACCTCCTGGGTTCAAGCCGTTCTCAGTCCTCAGCCTCTGCAGTAGCTGGGATTATAGGCACCAGGCACCACAGAGGGCTAATTTTTGTATTTTTAGTAGAGACGGGGTTTCTCCATGTTGGCCAGCCTGCCCTCGAACTCCTGGGCTCAAGTGATCTGCTCACCTTGGCCTCCTAAAGTTCTGGGATTACAGGTGTGAGCCCCTTCGCCCAGCGTATATTTGATTCTATAGTGCTGCTATTTTTGGTTTGAAACGAACAGGTTGGTAACCTAATTTGTGGCCCCCTGTCTCTTAAGAAATGTGTGCAGCCATTACACACAGCCCAACGCTGTCACGACATTGCCTCAAAACTGCCTTCATTCCTTAAAGTTAAAAACTTACAAAAGGCGGTATAAATGTGTATGTGTAATGTTATTACCTTTAAATCTAACTGGTAATATGACCCAAATTTGTATAAAGATTTTTCAGGTGAAAAGACTGGGTTTTGAGCAAACACAATTCTAATAGCTTCTGTGTTTTTGTGCACCAGGCCTGGCTGCCTAGCAGTTGAGTGATGCTGGTTAGCTGTTAAGGTGGCCTGTTGCAGTGCAGAGTGCTGAGCTGCTTCCTGTTTTCTTCTGTTTCCTCCTGAAAAAAGAAGCCCTGTCCGGAAGACTGTTCAGTTTATTAAAATGCCTGTCAACTGCCCTTCTAGTCACCCAGGCCTGGAAGAGAAATAATAGAGCATGCAGTGAGCACATCTAGCTGATGATAATCACACCTCTTCCCCCTCTCTATTCTGTTAAATGGCAAATCTGATCATATCAACATACATGAACTTAAAATATGGGGAATGTTATGGAAGAAATGGCTTGTAACTTTGTAGGTACTTATAACATGGTGTATGTTTTTTTATTGTGAATATTTCTTACTATTACCATGTTTCTATCATTGAATTAAAATGTTTTGTTGGTGTTACCTTTTCTCAAAATAAAATTAGAAATATTTTATAGAAAGTTGGTTGTTTTATTTTGCTGTTGGACTACTTTCTGCTATTTGTACCTTTGGGAAAATTATTTTACCAAGTTTCTCATAGGATTCAATTATAATTTTAAAAAAACTCTACAAGGTTTAGCTGTGTGCTTTATTATTTTATCACAATGTAGTTTCTTTGTACACTCTTTCTTTCCTCTTTCTACCTGTGATTTTTAACTTCCAAAGTCTTTTCAAAGAATCAGATTTTGAATTTTGTTATTACCTCTACTGGGTGTAATATTTTCTTTTGTAATTGTTTCTGCTTATACCTTTATTTTCTTTCCTTTTTTATTTTGATTCATCCTGTTTACTGAGTTGAGTGCTAAATTCAATCATTTTTGAACTTGCTGATTTTTTTCTTTCAGTTCAATTCGATACTCCTCTTTATATATGTTGTGATTTGACCTTAAATCCTGATATTAACACACCATACCAATCTGCCGTAATCAATCCATCCTGGGTGGTAGAACTGATGGCCTCTGTACAGTTAAAGTTGTGGTTGAAGCCTGTGTGGCATCACTAAGTTACTAAGGTAGCTTAAAGCTCAGCATTTTGTTTGTCACACATTTGTCTTCAAATACTCTGAAATATACTGGATTCAACCACACCAGAAGTTTGAAGATTTGGAAAGAAAATACTGGAAGAACCTCAGCCTCCTAATTGATGAAAACAGTAAACAATGTAATCCTGGACACGTAGGAACAATTTAGGAGTTTCTGGAGCAGGAATGTGAGGCTGTCATTGGAGAGAGTGTCAACACACCCTACCTGTACTTTGGCATGTGGATGACCACCTTTCCATAGGACACGGACCTTTACAACATCAACTACCATCACTTCAGGGAGCCCCTGTCTTGGTACACAGTGCCCCAAAACCATAGTCAGCACCTGGAATGCTCAGCCGGGGAGCTTTTCCAGGTAGTTCTCAGGGTTGTGAGGCCTTCTTGTGGCACAGGATGGCCCTCATCTTGCCCGCAGTGCTCATGCAGAATGGGGTTCCCTTCAATAGCATGACTCAGGAGGCTGGAGAGTTCATGATGACATTTCCCTATGACTACCACATAGGCTTCAATTCTCACAGAGACCATCCATTTCACCACCTAGGATGGGTAGATTATGGCAATATGGCATCTCAGTGTAGCTGTGGGGAGGGCAGGGTGGCCTTTTCCATGGACGCCTTCACACACATCATTAAACCTGATCATTATGACCTGTGGAAAAGCTAGCAAGATGGGGCCATTGTGGATCAAAGGGAGCCCAAGGTGCTGGCCAGCCAGGAGCTCATTACCTGGCAGGAGGACATGGCACCTGGCCTGAAGCTCCTCTGGACCTGGCCTCTTCTAGGCCTGTGGTCCTGGATAGTGGGACCTACCATTGAACCCACATGTACCAGTTGCAGTTTCCCTGGTGCCCCATGGCAGCCCAGGAAACTGATGCCCATACAAGGGTCATTGACCCCAGAGGCTCCCAAGAACACACCATGGCCCACCATCTATCTCGGGTCTGTTTGCCCTGGTTCTCTGCCTGTCAACTGGCAGAGGTGGTCATGGTGGTCTTTTTCAGGAACTAAGAGCTCAGGAGGGGATCCTCTAGTCTCCCACCAAGTGGCACAGCACACAGAGCTCTCGATCCTGGGGTCTTTGCCCCTACTTAGGATGGAACTTTGATAGACAAGCCTGTATCTCTCAGGCCTGCATCTCAGCAGCCCATCAAGGCTACCACGTGCTGCAGTGCCCCCATCTTCAACCTCTGGAGACAACTTGGATCTGATGCTTCGATGTGTGCTGGCCCGTATCTGACATCCCCAGACAGCATGACACTGAACCACCCTGTGTTCCACTGATTCCTCCCAACATCATAATGATGCTGAGAAGATTCTCCAGAGATGCTGCTGGAGAGTGCAAGGCCTCTTGAACCTGGCTGAGGTTGTAGCAATGGACCACTCTTATACCTCTGGGGTCTTGGCCCCAACTGATGTTGTCAGAATATGCTGGGCCCTGACTCCTGTCCTGGGGTTAAAGCCAGACAGTGCTGCACCTCTGAATTTGGAGCTATGTGCCTCTAATACATTATCTTAATCCTTTGAACCCATGGCTACTGAATATATTGCCAAATGTGGCTGTCCCTCTGACCATAACCTAACCCGAGTAGCCAAAGAAGGCTCCACTCAAGCACAATTCGAGCCTGGGACAGTCTCAGTCTCTTTTACTTTGAAGAACTAATATATACCCAAGGCTACCAGAGGCTGTTTCCTGTTTATTAAATTAATTTTTCCTAGTGCGTATCTACCAAGTAAAGAAAGGAATATCGGCCGGGTGCGGTGGCTCACGCCTGTAATCCCAGCACTTTGGGAGGCCGAGATGGGCGGATCACGAGGTCAGGAGATCGAGACCTTCCTTGCTAACACAGTGAAACCCCATCTCTACTAAAAATACAAAAAATTAGCCCGGTGGCGGGCGCCTGTAGTCCCAGCTACACTGGAGGCTGAGGCAGGAGAATGGTGTGAACCCAGGAGGCGGAGCTTGCAGTGAGCTGAGATCCGGCCACTGCACTCCAGCCTGGGTAAAAGAGCGAGACTCCGTCTCAAAAAAAAAAAAAAAAAAAAAAAAAAAGAAAGGAATATCCTGAAAACATATTTTAAAATCACTACTATAAAAGAGATAAACCTAAAACTAAGTGATTCAGAATGATTGAAAAATAAAAGAATGGGCAAAACTAGATCAAGGAAAATGCAAGCAAAAGAAAAGAGGGGTGGTAGATCTTAATATAAAACAAAGAAATTTTAGGTACTTCATATAAGTGCAATGATATAATATCTGTCTTTTTATTTCTAGTTATTTCACTTAGCATGATGTCCTCAAGGTTCATCCATGTTGCAGCATGTGTCAGAATTTCCTTCCTTTTCAAGGTTGAATAATATTGCATCATATGTATACACCACGTTTTGCTCATTCCAATCACCCATGGATGGACCATTGGGTTGTTTCCTCCTTTTGGCTATGTGCATGGTGCTGTTGAGAACACTGGTATAAAAGTATCTGTGTGAGTCCCTGGTAAAACCATTTGAATCATCTTTTAGAAGTTCCATATTCTTCCTTGGGCATCATTAATATGCCTTTGCATCTGACTTGACTGGAGATCTGATATATATCTGTAGTAAATTAGTTTTTAATATCAAATTAGTTTGAAAAATTATAATTAAATTTAAACTAAATTAAAATGTTAGATTAAAAATTAATTGTGTCACTTCTCATGAATTTGGGGAAACTTCTGACAGCAACATACCTTGTTCTCCTCTACCAAATATGTGCACACTAACATTTATTACTATGTGGGAGAATTCATGGATCTCTCAGTTCTATCCTAGGTCCCTGGTTTAGAAGTCTAGAGTTCCTTTCAATATCCCCTTATCATGGATGTCTCCGTGGCTCTGAAACAGCATTTTCATTCTTCAAATAGTCAGTTAGAGCCTGGGGAAAGGTGTGTTCTACAATCTTCTCATCCCTGCTGGTGGTAACTCACTATGGGTACTATGTGGCTCTGTGGGAAGCTGGGCATGGTGACTAGG